TCGAGATAAAATTTTATTTATTTCTTTATTGTTTCGACCAAAGGCAGGGCTCAACTCGCTAACCTAACAAGGATAAACTAACTTGCTGACTGTTGTGATCTTAAGCGGTCAAGTTCATGAAATAGATGATGTTGTAACAGATCCGCTTGACAACAGCAACAAACCAGTAACCTAACAACCTAGTGTTCAGGTCATATTCACGAGTCAAGTGGCCGTCGGTCGGTTGACATCATGTAAAGTTTATAAACACTTTTCCAAACTCCAGAATAGAGATTACACCGTTCATATTTTCGGCTTTTTTTTATGGATATGTAACAGAAATTAACTCAAGACGTTTCATATCAGATAAAATGTCGTGTATTTATTTTAGTTTTATACCCCCAAGAACTGAATATACAAATATTGATGGCACGTAGTGTGTTCATATTGATGGCACGTAGTGTGTTCCTCTATACGAATTTCAAATATCCGCTGCCTAAAAACTATCCTAGCCTAAGAACTAGATGGAACAAGATACTGTTGAGCTTTTTTAGCTTGAAATTCTGAGAATAATTACAATTTTACAAAAGTACACATATTATCACAAAGGAACGATTTATGAGAACAGCAGATCCAACAGGGAGACTATACAGTGTATGTAAAGTATATAATAACAAAACATATTAAAAAGTAACAGTATGTAGGTTTGTTATCACGTGTGTTTCAAGAGCTAATAGAAGTGTAAAGTATGCAGTTAGGGGAGGAGTGAGGGGATACTGACTTAATTACGGTTTAGCTTATTCAGATATTTTTGGAGTCACAGATCTGGCCTATATGGAATGTTCCCTAAACGGGTGAACAAACCAACCAATTAGTTCTTTTAATAATTTATGTTGTTGTTTTCGTTTTTAATTTCATCAAATTCAAGACCAGACCATGGTCTGCAAAAATCTTTTTATTAGCATTTGCTTATCACATATGAAAATATAAGTAATAAGGCCGAGTATAATATTTTGATAGCTGTATAACTGATTCCGTTGTCAATACATTCAAAGCGTTGAAGTAATACTATAACTGAGTAAAACCTTACACCAAGTAACCTCTACCACAGACCTCCTGTAATAAAATACTTGCCAGTGGAGTTTTCACGAGCCAAGTAATTGCGACATCTATTGGTTTTTATACGCATTACTTTCAGAAGAAAAATCAATTTTTTTGTAAGGTTTTTAAAAACGTGTGCAAACAAACAATTTGTGTTTCTGCTAGTTATGTGAAGGTTGGGAGTCATACAAGTGTAGAAACATAGGGTGGTTTATTTGTGCTATGATCTTATTTTAACAACCGCCTTTTATGTCGAAATATTAAATGTAACTGCCTTCTCAGAACTGGCTGCAGACAGCGAAATTCAGTAAAAATTGAAACTTTGTGAATCAAAACAATCAACTTCTAGCCTAACGACAACCTAGTTTGACACTTGTGGTTGGATCATGCCCGTTAGATGGGATATCCGCAACTCTTTTGGGTATTATCACCGCAGACATTTTTCATTATGAGTTAATGAATAATAGCAAGAACTAGCAATGGTTATTTTTTTCATTTTTGTTTTTGAAGATAAAATTTTACCTTTATGAAATAGTAAGGAAATTTCACAGAATCTTCGGAAAACATAATTTTAAATATTAAATGTTGTATACTCAGTTTGTCCCTTTATGAATGATCACACTATTGAATTATACTTTCATTATTAGAGAAAGTCTTAATTTTCATAAAAGCAAAATTAGCAGAATAAAAGAAAATAGTCTAATAAAAGGGAACTGAACAATATCCAACTATATATATATATGTATTAACAATATCATATCTATTGGAAACATCCAACTATATATATATATGTATTAACAATATCACATCTATTGGAAACATCCAACTATATATATATATGTATTAACTATTTTATATTCGGTGAAACTATGAATTCTATAGTTTAAATATGCAGCGAAAAGTAATTAAAGAACTTGGACTGTTTATATCAAATTAATATTTGAAGTGTTTTCAAATCAACAATAAGATTGGAGGATTTCTTCAAATCCAAAGACGTTATTACAGTCTTGAAATTTTCCAGAGTAATATACAAGTGTACTTGCCCTGTCTGCAAGCTAAATACATAGGCTTAACCGCCAGATTTTTTCCCTTTGGACCAGGGAGCAATCAAATAGAAAATCCGACCCCATTTCGTGATTTCCTAGATTGTAAATAACTGGGATTAACTTGTATGTTCTAGAGTATTGAGAGATTGTAAGGAATTAGGATTAACTTGTATGTTTTAGAGTATTGTAAATTGTAAGGAAATAAGATTAACATGTATGTTCCAGGGTATTGCTAGATTGTGAGGAACTTGGATTAACTTGTATGTTCCAGTGACTTCTAAATAACATTATTCTGGGTGATGGAAAAGTGATAACGCTGATAATCAAGGGCAGTTTTTTGTCATCAAAAAATACCTACACTAAACTAGCCTGCATATGCAACACGCTTACTTTTTAGTTGTACATTTGTTTTGTAATAAATTGAAATGTGGATTACTTTGTTTGTTTTTTGTGTTTCAGCACAAAACTACGAAATGGGCTATCTGAACTCTACCCACCAAGGCGAAACGAACCGAGAATTCTAGCTTTATCAATCCATTAATTTACCGCTGACTCAGTGTGGGACAATTACTTTAAACAGGATAATTTTGTTTTGATATTCCCATTAAGCGGTTTCACATTACATGATGGAGATATCCAGGAAACCTTGAATCATTTCCAAAAATTAGAGAACTTCAAACGTATACTAGAAATTACAATTCCCAGAGTAGATTTAGGTGAACTAAAATTCCAGGAGCATTTGTAGTATTGTGTGACTTTTTAACTATCTAAACCTCACAGACGTAAGACTAAGATACAATAAGACTATATTAGGCCTATTATATCACGTATGAAACTTTAGCAGGAAGACCATTTAATTAGGCAGCAGCCTTATACACAGCATCGTATATACAGAGGAAGAGGGCCCGGCATGGCCAGGGGGTTAGGGTGCTCGACTCGCAATCGGAGGATCGTGGGTTCGAATCCCCGTCACACCAAACATGCTCACCCTTTCAACCGCAGAGGCGTTATAATGTGACAATCAATCCCACTGTTTGTTGGTAGCCCAAGAGTTGGCGGTGGGTGGTGATGACTAGCTGCCTTTCCTCTAGTTTTACACTGCTAAATTAGGGACGGCTAGCACAGATAGCTCTCGTGTAGCTTTGCGCGAAATTAAAAAAAACAACAAAAAACAAAGTAAGAAGTTACAAGATGCTAAGAATATCAGTTGGAATAAACAAATTTGCTTTATTCTACAGCATTTTCAACTCGGTATTCTGGAAGAGTTATTGAGTTAGTCATTCATGATGTCAGAAAGAGAGGTTGGTTCAATAAGTCTTGATACAAAATGATAAAAACCCTATAACCCGAGCACATTCGAGAGATGAACCTTTCTTCTTCAGGGGCAAACTGGGAATGAGTTAGTCATTTTCATTAATGAACTTCGCAAAAAATACTCGAGAGCTATCTGTGTCAGCCATCTCTAACTTAAAAGTGGTAGAATAGAAGGAAGTCAGTTAGTATAATTGAATAACGCCCCCACGACTTAGAGGACGAGCATTTTCGGTGATATGATTCGAACCTGAGACCCGCAGGTTGCAAATCGAGTGCCCTAATCACCAGACCATGTCAGGCTTTATTGATTTAGAAGTCGCCGATGAGCCAAAGTGGTGCTCAACATGCAGATTAGGATGTGATAGCAAGAGAACTCAGAAGGTGTTTGTTTCGTATATTCGTCTAAAATTACACTGGCTGATGCTAATTAACTGAGAACTGATGATCTAGAGACTGATGATTTACAATTCTTGTGCTACTCTTATCTGACTGAATAGTGGGAGTAGACCGTTACTCTTATAATGTGTGGAGCGCTATTTAACATCAACAGGACGCGAACCATGGACTTTCTGAGTTAGAGTCTGTCAATCTACCACGCACGGTGAAGATATTATAACAGTGTTCTATGAGAATAACACTTAGAAAAATAAATGTTTATTTCTAATGCCAACTACGGCACTCAAACGATAGAACTAAATATGCCATGCTAATGGTGGGTCAGTTTTAGCTTGGTTGGCATAAACGTATGATGTATCAAATAAAGAAGTAGAAAGACATGTGACTTTATTTCCGGCCACCGTACTGTGCAGTTGGATTCGAACCTGATATTTAGAATCAGACTAAAATCATATTTATAAATCTAAATACATTCGAACATATTTTGACTGACCCAATCAAATATCATCAGAATATTTATCTTAACTCACAATATCGTACTTAATATTCGATGACGAGGAACCCACTTTGAGATTAATAATGGTTGGAGATGAATGGGGAGATGACAAGGGGTCGACAAAGTTGTCGAAACGTTGTACATTTGCTGTTATGTTAAAGTTATATTAAAGTTTTTCTTCATTACCCATTCAAGCCGTCTCCAACCATTATTTAACACTGTAAAGTGTGATTGGATTTGTACCAAATTTCATGAGCACATTAAGGTTGAGACTGTTCATCACACTACAAAACATTATCCGGATCGTTGATCATTATGGATCTGGATTTTCTTAGTTTTCGAAGGTTAAATTTGACGTTATCCCATATAAATGCATGTAATCTCGAAAAGGAGCAGCACAGCGAGGGTATGTAATTTCTCATGTTTTTCTTTTAGACTTTAACTATTGTATTCTTTTCCAACAAATTGAGCTACTGAAGAGAGAAGAAAAATTATATAATATAACATGTGGGATGTGTTGTGTGTTTTATCTCAATTATCAATGGTTTATTTTTCTCATTTTCGGAAAAGAAAAAAAAATACCTTTATAAAGAAATTAAGTTAATGAAAGTATCAATAGAGGACTCTGATATCCCCTGTCACGTGGCTGTCTGTTGTCAGTGGCGGCGTATTGTCTTACAGCTTAGTTACAGGTACTTTATCAACTTTTTAGCGAAACAAAGTGATCATGTGAATGAGTGTTTTGGTCGTGGTTGATATACTGGAGAGCTCTACTACAAAAAGCAATCAGAATTTGATATATTTGAAGAGATATATATAGTTTGACGGTTTTAGTTTTAGTGGTGAGTACGTTATGTTTGTATTTAGATCTGTAATTATTTAAAGACAAACTAAAGTAGTTTTATAAAACTGTGCGTTAAAAGGAATGTGAAAAAAAAACAAAGTTAAACGGTTTAAAATATTTAAAAGAATGTCAAGACCAAAAAGAAAACACAACAATAACAATACTAAATGGGTAACGTTTTAACTGTTTAATAATAACGGCACACTTTATCAGTTTTAACCTCTGTTCTGGAATCTCAAATACTGCATAAAAATAATTAAAAACAATTATAAACAGGTATGGATCCTCATGCACATAACATAACGTCTTCCAGCTGTTAATGCCATGCAGGGGAACGAACTTTGCCATAAATGCGTAGTACCCTTTGTAGCGTACCGTTACTGCGTACGTGACTGAGACGACGTACTCTGCACTCTGACTACAGATGCTAGCTACCATCATAGCAAAATTCTGATATATTACAATGCACTTGTAACGGGTGTCCTGTTAATACCTAATCTGCATAGAAAATGAAAGATTTATTGAAAACGCTTTGATCTATCGCTACAAAGCGCCCCCCCCCCCCCAAAGTGGCACAGCGGTATGTCTGCGGACTTAAAACGCTAGAAACCGAGTTTAGATACCCGCAGTGGGCAGAGCACAGATAGCCCATTGTGTAGCTTTGTGCTTAATTCCAAACAAATACATACAAGGCTACACCTTATAATTAACCAATTTCTGTCTTTACATGTATTATCCTCCCAGGACAAGACTGACAAAAATCGCTCAGCAAATTTTCTGTTTCATATTATGATACTTTATTACAAAAAAAAACAACAACAAAACAAACCCGATTATTAAGATGTGTGTGGTGTTTGTTCCTGCTATTGTTAATATTTAGTTTCATTTCTACCCTAAAAGTAAACAGTAACAATGCAATACTAAATTTAATAAAAACACTTGGTCCTATCATTCTAAACTTAGAAAGTCGAGATACATTTGTCAGAAATAAAGCATTAAAAAAGTTTACACGAATATTTTCCGTTTATTTATTTATTTGTTTTTTTGTTGTTGTTTTTTTGGCTCATAGCAATTCTAAGGAAATTGTCATTTATATGTACATGTGTGTGTGTGTGTATTGTGTCTGTTCTCTTCTTTTTACGATAAAATATGTTGTTTATATAGAACATTTCAGAACACATAATCTGCTTATATGTAAGTTATATGTGTCTGATTCCCGGTATTTCAGTGGTAATTTCCAGTGCTTATTAAGCACAATTCTGTGTTCAATCCCCGCTACAAACAGTGCAATGGCTTATTGGTTAATTTATCTAACTGGGGATCCGATCTGCTACCAAACATACTTTGCTCTTTCAGCAGTGGGTGTGTTATTAAAATGACAGTCAATCCCACTATTCAGTTAAGAAGAAACTTGTGAAACGGCGGTTACTTCCCATTGGTTGCCTTTCTCTCTGGTCCGCAGCTCAAAATTAAGGACAACCATGTCTGAACCATGAGGTCTCTGTCATCTTGGTTTTGTCAATATGATGTTGTTCAAGAGAACAAAATAAACAAACAAAAACGTAAAAAGGCCATACGATATTCAGTGATAACTATCAGCAAACTGACAGAACACTAAACTTTTGACACAAACCAAACAAGCATCCCATGAATAGGGGTAATGGTTCTCGTTATCATAATCTTCATTGATCTTATTTTCCCTAGTAAAATATGAAATTATCTTACTATTTATTTCGGTTATTGAAGTAAAAGTTCCTTATGCCATTATCTTCATCTTTCTCAAATACAATCTGAAGCACCTAAGCATCTAATGGATTTGAAAACTGATTTTTTTTTGTTTGTTGTCCTTACTAGAATCAACCACTGGTAATACGAAAGCAAACCATGGTTATAGTGCATTAATTAGTGAAAAATAGTGTGAATTAATGTTAAATTAAACATGGTGAGACACACAGTGGGTTTATACCAAATAACCACGGGTTGTATACCTTCCCATTCTATTTCCTCGTGCTTTAAAGGATGACTTTGAAAGTTTAATAAACTCAAAGTTGAGTGTGGCTAGTAAGACAAACATCATATCTTATACAAACCTTGATACCAATTGTCAATTTATTTTATGTCTTTAAAATTCCCCCCAGTGGCTCAGCGGTAAGTCTGTGGGCTTTAAACTATAAAAATTGAGTTTAGATACTCGCAGTGGGCACACAGATATCCCATTTTTAATAATTTTTATCAAGTCTTCATTTACTTTTGTTAAAGAAAAGTTACATTGGAAGCGTTTGATGTTAAGGCATTTCAAAGAGCATGCTATTTTCACACATTTATCATACTCTCACAAGTTATAGATGTGGTAATTGTAATGGTGTTAAACTTCTAAGCTGGCCAAGCAAATTGACATTTTAGGCCTAATAAATATGATTAAACTCAGACTTTATTCTATCTAGAGATAAAGGGGTGTAAAATTAACATTTCAAATGCATTTTTTCTTTTTTTTTACACAGCGAGTCATTGACCAGAAGGCCTTTCGTGTAATACTCGTGATCTAGGCTGAACTATGGCTGTACAAGAAATATATCGCAGTGTGTTAATCGCCTAGTATGACATAATGCAGCTCCACTAGTGAGGTTTAGTATTGAATAAAAGTCCTCTTGAAAAGTGGCTCTAAGCAGAAAAAAAAATATGCACATCTGGAATTCTATTTTTTTCACACTTCTGGTTCCGGATGAATAACGTTCTAATGAATGGTATTATGAGAAAACTATTTGCAGTAAAGCGTGATTTTAATCACTTGTGTTAAGTTTAAAATACTTCACTACTTTGCCACCTTGGGCAGTTAACATTATTGTTTTTCTTGTATTGCCCCTAAATAGCATTTTGGATATTAATTTGGTAGCAAATTCCAACCCAGCTGATGCATCCTGGTATTGATTAAAGGGGTCTTTTTTTGCAGCGTCTTGTGAGAACAAAAGGTAGTTTTGAAGCATCATCTTTATTTTTATTTACTTCTGATTTCAACTCTCTAAAAATAAAATGGTTAAGAGAAAGTGTACCAGTATCAAAGTTCATTAGAAGAAACAGCTACTAAAAATAATTAAACTTGGGAAAGGTTGTTTATTTGTTTAAGTCTAAAGCTACGCGATGGGTTATCTGTGCTGTATCTGCAATATGGATCGAACCTCACACTTAACTGAGGAATGAAGGGCAGTAATGCTTTCTGCGCAGAAGGCTGACTTTCGAATAGAAAGTATTCTGCTTTCTCACAAATCCCTGTCACACCAAACATGCTCGTCCTTTCAGCCGTGGGGGCGTTATAATGTGACGATCAGATAGCTCTCGTGTAGCTTTGCGCGAAATTCAAAACAAAACAAACTTTCTCACAACAAGTTGTTTTTCAAAATGCAATGAACTATTGTGTTACAATAATAATAATTAATATGTGAATATATGCTGCACAAAAAATCACATTAGTAATTATAAATGTATAGATATTTTGGTAAACCAACACAAGGAAACTAAGCATACAAAAAAATATTTTTTACATCGGTGGCGCCCCAGTGGCTCAGCTGCAAGTGATTGTTTGTTTGTTATGAATTTCGCGCAAAGCTACACGAGGGATATATGCGCTAGCCGTCCCTAATTTAGCAGTGTAAGACTAGAGGGAAGGCAACTAGTCATCACCACCAACCGTCAACTCTTGGACTACTCTTTACTAACGAATAGTGGGATTCATCGTCACATTACAACGCCCCCACTACTGAAAGGGTGAACATGTTTGGAGTGAGGGGGATTCGAACCCGCGACCCTCAGATTGCGATTCAAGCGACCTAACCACCTGGCGAAGAAGTACAAAATATAAAGCTTTTTGTTTTGTTTTTTACAAAAAAAATAGTTTTACTGTACAGTTAATTGATAGTATTATTATGAATTATTTAAAATATCTGTACATTTCTAAAATCAGTAAACCTGTAGAAACCAAAGAAATAGTTTATTATATTCTGCCTTTTACTAGTAAACACGCAGTAGAATTAAATAAAGCGATTTTGAATAACAAAACTTATCTACAAATTAAGTTTAGAATTGTTTTCAAACCGGTATCTCATATATGTAATTATTTCAAATTTAAAGAAAGGATCCCTAATACGCATCGCTCTTATGTCATCTACAAATTTACATGTCCAATGTGTAACCTTCGCTATGTGTGTGTTCTACAGTTCGTTGTTTGAGCTCAAGAATCAAAGAGAATGCGCAAAATAGGGTATGTAACTGGAGGGGGCATTCAGAAGAGCGCATAACCCCCAAGACTTACTACTCATCATCCAGTTCGTCTACTGTCGTATTCATAGACACCTCAGTCGAATCTCACCCACTGTCCACAGACGAATTCAGCTGCACCCAGTTCTCTTTCTTCCGTCGCCTCGTGCTAGACCCCCTCCAAAAGATCCGCTTGTTTGCAATGACAAGCTTCCTCTCAAGATAGTTTCACGTCATTTAAGCCTAACTGGGCACTGGCTGGCAATTATTAGGCGCCAGGTTGTGAAAGTGGGTTTTCTCGGGGTGCTCCCATTTCCCTCCACATCAAATTCTTGGCATCGGATCTATAGATCCACCACCGTTCTGAAGGATCATAGGTCCTACATCAGCCGTTGGTTTTGTTCTGACCATCCCTCGTTTCCTCTCTGCTTTTTTGCTTGCCATCGATCCATCAGTCATCGTGTGATTCTCAAATTATCAGTATTTTTTTGTTTTGTTCTTCTCACGCATTCATTCTAAATTCCCTACACCACGTGTGGGGGCGAAGAGAAAAAGTTTTTTTCTGAACATCTCGATGTCATTTAACCCTAAACTTTTAGTTTAGGATTAAACGTTTTAAACCAAATTTACTACCACTGTTTTTTAGGTTCTTGAAGAGTGCATATCTCCGTCAAGCAGCGTTGATCATATTCGGCTCTCAAAAAAAACGAAAATGTGTCCGTATGTCCGTCTTTATCAACGGACACGGGCCATTTTTGGCGTGACAATGAGGAATAATATTCTGTATATGTCCACCAAGTTTCATCAAAATCCGATTAATTTTGAGTTATAGAGCAAAAGTCAAAAATCGGACCCCATGTTAACAGATTTGGATTTTTTTTCTATTTTCGTGACCTTGGCCCTCCAGAAACTAATTACTTCTAAGTTGGGTCATAGTCTAAATGAATACCAACTTTCACCCAAATCTATTCAGTTGTTTTCGAGAAATCTTGCTGACAAACACACACACACAAACACAGAGGGGTGAAAACATAACCTCCGTCCACCCTCGGTGGTGGAGGTAATTAGTCAGCTATTCTTCATCATTGTTTGCTAGACTGTGACATTAATATTACACACAACGAGTTCAACATCTTGGGAGATACGGCCAAAAAAGAAATACTCCGCACTAAAGAGAACTTGTGGATACACAAGGTGCGTCCCTAGTTGGATGTAAACTAAACATCGTCATATTCATCCTTGCCATATTAAAGAAAATCATTGAATTTGGTCTATCTAAAATAATAGTAGAATACAATATAAATAAATGTTTTTTATTGGCTGCTAAACATAAAACTACTACTACCTGTGCTCTACCACCTGCAGATATCAAAACCCGATTTTTAGTGTTATAGTTCTCAGATATATCCTGAGCAACTGGAGTGGGGTGACCAGACGTCCCAGTTTTGCCGGGACAGTCCAGTTTTCTGGTAGTTTGGTACTTTATCGTAGTGTCCTGAGAAAAGTTCTCTGGACGCACAAAACGTCCCGGTTTTATAAAAAAAAGACTCCAAACTGACAGTCACATCGAATCACGAATGTAATAGGCCTACTTGACTTGCTCACTGTTGTAACACATGCTCTCCTATCTCAAAATTCTCACGAAAGATCCGTCTGTGTGGGGTGAGAAGCCCGTGTCTGCGCAGGTCTGAATGTGGAGACAGTTAAGGCAGGACTCATAGTCAAAACACGCTTTACACAGTCATGAACTGAACTTTATGACTATTTAATGCAAAAACCAGAACTTACACGTTCCATTCATTCTTCACAAAAATGTCTAAAAGTTTCAAAGTAACACTAAAACGTAAAAGTAGTATGCTTGAAGATGTTAGATAAATCCAGGTATGAAGTAGCCTATTTAAAACTAAACTGGATATAGTGAATAATTAAATATTTCTTGGATGTATAATTTGAATATTTCTGCTCATCTGTTTTGTGTCTATCACCAAAACAAAATTATTGAATTTGTTTTCAAAAACAATGTTCAAATATTTGGAAATATTGTGGAACAGTTCAATAAATTTAAAGTAAATTAAATTAAAGTTAAATTACTTTAAATTTGTAATAACCATTTTGAAATTATGGGCAAGAGCTGGACTTTCCTGGTTTTTCGGCTTGGAGTCTGGTCACCCTAAACTGGAGACACTTTGTTTTACTCCTACGTGTACAAGGAAGTGATGGCTAATATTAATTTTTTGTTAACTCTGGCGTAATTATAGGAAGTGGTATTTTTGAAATGAATAATACAAAAACCTGATTGAAAATAATAACGTTCATGAATAATACATTTGTAACAAATTGCATAGAACTTCATATGTATTTTACGCCCTAAAACTAGGCTTAACTTTTTCAACAACTTCATACATATTTTACGTCCTAAAACTAGGCTTAACTTTTTTCAACAGCTCTCGATAATATGACATTATGTTGTTATGACAATGTCATTATGATCGTTAGTTTATGAAATTAAAACTTTAGAAAGGGATATGTCACTACACCTCAAACTACATCTTGCTTTGTGCAAAAGCTTTTATTTTTTACTTCATTAAAACACTATATCGTCCACAGCGGCTCAGGATACATAGTATAGGACCGATTTCATACTAACAAACATTCGATATGGAAGCAACTATGAATGTTGAACCAACCAACACACTGGTACAATCTATGGCCAGATTACACGGGCCTGCGAATTTAAACTTCATAAAAGTTGTTTTGGTTTTAATAACAGGTTTTCCATAATTCAGCTACGCAGGTTTTAAAAATAACGTTGTTTTTTTCTATCACGTAAGGATTTTTATACAAATCGGGGAAAAATTCTTACTTAAATCAAATTATTATTTCGTTTATCATAATGAACATTTTTTATTATTACATTTGTTAACAAAAAAATATAAACAAACTGAAGAAAACAGAAGAACATTGATGTCAAACGAATATGCATCCTCATTCATCCTGTTTTTGTGTGAGTGTGTGTGTGTGTTTGTGAAATCTACGTCTTTTAATCTCAAACTACGTGTTGTAGTCTTTCTTTTATGTGATGCGTTATGACGTTTGGTGAAAAATCTGTACGTGATGGAGAAAAATGTATATCATATTCGGATTCGACGTACCGGAATTACTATACAACATGTAAACATTTCCAAACCTGTGTTATCAATCGAAGTCGTTTTTAAAGTGTCTGAAAACACAGTATTAAAACTAATTCCCTTTCTACTTGTATTTAATTTCTTTGAGCTGATATGCTAATTTAATGTGTGTGTATATGAAAACAGCGATTGCAAGCCGAGTGCTATGTATTACGTGTTAAGGAATATCCGTCTCATTTCCGCCTTTGTGTATATGTAATTTAGTATCTATGTGGTTTGTATAATCATTACATAATTATATATTTGATAAGACTTCTGTAGAGAGACATGATAATAATTCTGTACTATAAAATAGGAATGAAACAGGAAATCTGCCGTAACTTAAACGTAGTTCTTAAATCTTCTAACACCTTTTTCACCCTCCTCTATATGTTAGTATACTTACATAATGCTACATCTATCGTTTGGTTGTTTGAACTATCATTTAACAGCCCTCACGGTATATAGTAAAGCGTCTCACTGGTGATTCTGTACAGAAAGGTCGAGCGAGATATTTAAGATAATATCCTGTAGTCTGGTATCTGTAATTTTCACGATATTAAATAAACATTTAACTCTTATAAATTCAAGAACACAGTTAATGAAAATACTGGTGTAATATTAGAATGGCTATTAAATATAGCTCGATCAAAAAATTAACGAACAAGAGCACGGGATAACTTCTAATGACCTTACGATGAAGAATTATATAGGTTTGATAACAATGTATTTGTTGTATTATATTGTCGTTGTTTTTTAACCCTTCATAATAGTCGGACGTAGCCAAACAAAGTAATATGATTAAAACCAGACTTTGATATGTTTGTTTACTTTGCAGTTCCTAATTTCTATGCGCAATCATTTGCTTTCTTACTTATAATGGAAATATACACGTATATATACATATTATCAGTATTATTTTATCTTATCAAAACCTTTAAAGTATAGATAATTCTGGTTGGCAATAGTCAGTTTAAATTAGATTGATCTTTATTTCCTTATCTGGAGTTCAACCATTAATCAGCCAGTTTGTGTGATATGTTTTAACGTTTCATCATTTTTTTTAATGTAAGTATCTATTTCAACAGCATGCCGGTTTGAAATATCATCATTGAAACTTAGTCGTCTCCACGGAAACTACAATGTATCGGATCAGACTTGCCACTTTCGATGTCACCAACACTCTACTTAAGTTTAAAATCCCGATTGGAGAAGAATACTCCCAGATATCAAAGCTTTATGGTATACAGAGCGATGCAGCTCAGCTGAACGCAGCGTTTAAAAGACAGTGGAAGATCTTGAACCAGAAGCATCCAAACTTTGGAGCCACAACGGGACTTGCACCGCAGACATGGTGGGCCAGTTTGATAGTGAGAGTATTCCATGATGCTGGGTATGATTATTTGGACCAAAAACAGCTTCAGGCAATATCTCGTCACTTATTTAAAGCCTATAGTACTAAAGTGTGTTGGCAGATGCAGCGTGGAACACATTCCCTTCTGGAGAATCTTGCAAAGGCTAATGTACAACTCGGTATTATTTCCAACTTCGACAACCGCTTACAAAGCATTTTATCTGATGTAGGCCTTCTTCCTCACTTTAATTTTGTTATTGATTCTTATTCCGCCAGAGTCAAGAAACCTAGCAAAGGTATCTTTAACTTGGCCTTGGATCATGTCAAACATCTGGACATTCTGCCAGAGCAGGCTGTTCATATTGGTAATGACTTACATGTGGATTATTGGGGAGCCATAAATGCCGGATGGAATGCTCTGCTTTTGACCAAAAAAGCAAATCTTTCACCAGAAGAACTGAAGATTGTTAATCCAAATGACATTCTAAATGATGTAAGAGAAGCTGAGAAACATATACTCGAACCTGACGTTGTGAGATTTCGAAATCAGTTCTGAAACTGAGCTTGCTGGTTTTGTTTTGAAGGCAGATCTGTAGATACAGCTTACGTTTTATGACAAGCAAAACTTCGGTGCACTGCGCTTTTATCAAACATTGCATGTGCTAAGGTAGAATATACTAAGAATCAACGGATACATTATAATAATTTGAATCACTTCATACTGAGTAGTAGATAATGGATAAGTACAGTTTTTATCTTTTTTGATTGCATCTCTTTTGGTTACTGTTTCAGGTGTGTTTGAATACCCATAGACAATTACCCATTGATTGTATTATTTGGGACAGCTGCGAACTGCAACTAAATCTATGTAGAAGAAACCAGGCGTATGCTCGCTGAAGGCACACGAGAATATTGGTATAACAATTCGATTAAGAATTCGTCCCTTCAACAAAGCTGATTATTCCGCTTGGCCATTTTAAAGTAATTTCCTTTCAATATGCCTCCCTCAACACCAATCAAAGGATCGGAATCGAAAAATAAATCATTTTAAAATTAGGTTCTATAAATCCTTTTGATAATAACGAACGGTTCAGCTTTTTATATTTTTTTCAAGTTATTTCATTCAGTTTTTCAACTTGTTCTTATTAAAGTTTTAATATCTTTTCTCGCAACTTTTTTATGCCCTTATTTTAAATCAATAACTTTTCACTATTTTCTTCAGTTTTGTTGTCATTATTATATTGATTAATTTGTTTTAGAGCAAAGCCATATTGGGTTATCTGTTGTGTTCACCGTGAGGAATCGAACCCCGGATTTTAGTGCTATAATTCCGTAAACTTATCGATGTGGCATATTGTTTAATTTTCGTGTTTCTGTCTCACGTTAATTCTTTTTTTTTCTGGTACATTGCTCCTTTCAAAACGTCCTGCAATAATTCTTCGTTAATCGACAGGCTTGTTCTGGCTTGAAAAAGAGCATTTGCTCGAAATGTCGCCAGGGAAATAAAAAAAATGAAACTAAGGATTTTTCATTTTATTGATCTCCAAAAGTCTAATTTCTTTGTTTTGTCACCTCTGCATTTTTGGTTTATTTGTTTGTAAAGTATACCCTTAGTTGTTACGTTGTATTTACATTCATTACTAATCTTGCCGAACCAAGTTTTAAACCTTTATTAGAAAGATAAACCTTGTTATCATAAGATTGAAAGATGGAAATACTATATACTGTTTAACGTACTGTGAGACATAACCACAAGTATGAAGTTATCTTGTCAAGCTTATTATTTTTTCAAATTTTTACCCATATGCGGCCAATAAATTCTAAATAAAGCGTTTTATGAACTTCCTAGAACAAAGTTATAAGTCTGTACGATAGTATTTTTTGCCCGTTGTGTAATAATTGTGTGAACTTCAGGATAGTCTTTATAAAAATCACCTGTAGTTTTAAGCCAACTATTACGTATTGAAAGCTAATAATGGACAGTTAACACAAATTTGTTTTTTTTTATAAATAAGATTAGAATATTAAAATTTTTATTCTTAAACCATTTTGCGATTAAAAAATATTGTAATTCTGTGAAATGCAAAGGAAATATATATATTTAAGAATACAGATTATTGTTTCTGGAAAAAGTCACTGAAACAGAACTACCCAACAATTAGGTATTTTCACAATGTACTTGTATTTGTGTTCTTACTTTCATCAGTTTAGAAATCATATTTTTTAATTTGATACATTTACATCTTCTGTTAATAATGTGGCAAACAACGATTTATATGCATAATGAAGTGATTTATTTTTGGAGGACACGAATAAGACAGACAATGTCCTCTCGAAACATGTAATTTGTCTCTCCAAACATTAATCACTTCATTGTACATATAAATCATTGTTTGCCATATTATTATATTCGCATACTGTGCTTTCTTATACAGATGTTTACATTTTCTGATTTTCCGAGTGACATGTCAAAAAAAAAAAAAAATAGAATAACAACAGACCCCGAAATTATCAAACAAATCCAGAGAAACGCGATCATCTTCGTTGTGAAGACTATAGCTACAAAGATAACTCTCTGGCCCAAATATTATTGTAGTAAAACTGGACGAATCTCCTGGTAATATTAACAGAACATTAAAAAAAGAGTTTGAAGTTGATGAAGACTTACAAGCTTCAAGCCACACCTCAAAGTAAATGATTGGCTTCATATCAAAGATCGACAAATGAACTGAAATCCACATAATCCCATATAGCTCTAACGGGTTTTGGTCTGCTTAGTCGTAGTCTGTTTGTTTGTTTTGAATTTCGCGCAAAGCTACACGAGGGCTATCTGCACTTGCCGTCCCTAATTTAGCAGTGTAAGACTAGTGGGAAGGCAGCTAGTCATCACCACCCACTGCCAACTCTTGGGCTACTCTTTTACCGACGAATAGTGGAATTGACCGTCACATTACAATGCCCCCACGGCTGAAAGGGCGAGCATGGTTGGTGTGACAGGGATTCGAACCCGCGACCCTCAGATTGCGAGTCGAACGTCCTAACCACCTGGCCATGCCGGGCCAATTTAGTCGTAGTCTTCGAAACTACTTCCATGTACAGTGAAGAGTCTGTGGAAAGTTCTTTATAATATAAATATATGCATTATCATGGCCATTAGTCTAAACATTTGCGATGATGAGTGCAGTAGTAGATTAGATGTAATGTTTGGTACCAATATATTGATTCTTGAAGGTAACAGATTGTTTAACCATAACCATTAACTTCCTATCAATGTCTTCTAGCATTGTTTCTTCTAGAAATCCTACATCTTTGACTGTTTTATTTAGTCCACTCTAGAATTGCCCATAGGGTACATAACCCATCGGTATTTTTAAATACAATTTTCTAAATAAATTTGTTGGTTACATGTTCTCTAATAATATGAGTTACAAAAGTGTCAAATAAATCTCCAACAATATTTCTATATTTTATATAGAAATGGACTAATTTTTAATTTTTTTCAATTCTTCAAACTAAGTGTTGTAACGGGCAAAAACATAAAATTTCTCAATATGATGCAATCTATGGATCCAATCAGGAATTAAAGCCATAAATACAAGTCATATATTTGAGAGTTTTATACAAAAAGAAACAAGAGCAATGGTTTAAAATTGGCATTCGTTTTTGTCTCCGTATTTTACAGCCTATTTATGAGTTGTTTTTGTTGTTTTTTTTAGTTTATGTATACAGAAGTTGAGTAAGTTATATTAAAATGCATTTGGAGCCTCACTATGCCTTAATGCTCATGTCTCTGTGTCTGGTCATGCTCTATCTGATGACACTCCTCTTAACAATAGCCCCACGGCGTAGTTTCCATAACAAAAGGATTTATCGCAAGACTGCTGTGTCCAAAGCACACCCCTTCTCCCTGCATGCTTTCCATGAGCCATTTAATGTTCTACAAAGGCTAAATTTTCCCAGCATCCACTTGAACAGGTCGATTGCACAGAAATACATAGTTGTTGCATCTGGCGATTAGACTGATATGTCTTCGTATGTATTACCATGAATACCTATTTTATTCAAAAGCCTCTTGAGATATGTGATAGTTAGATGAATATGTTGTAGAAGCATCATGTGTACACATGACTTGTGTTGCTTTTCCAGGTGGAGATCCTTCTTGATTATGTTGCATATTGTTGCTCGTGAAACAAGAATAGTTTTGCTATTGATCTTATTATTCGTGGATTATCAATTTTACAAGACATTACACTTTTCTTACCGTAGCTGCGGTATGACTTGTTGCAAAATGATCCATATTCCTTTGTTTTTCAATGCCATTAAGTACAGGGAGGATTCTCATCTTGGGAATCTTGAATCCCTAGCCTGAACACATCTTTTTGATCTGAGTGTATAATTTTTTTTTTTCAGAAAGGACGGTTACGTGCCCTTCCCAAAAACAATCAATTTTTGAGAACATTACTCTACCTATGTCATGCTAAACAATGCCAAAATGTAGTTCTTATACCCTCCGTACCACTACAACTTTATATCGAGTGTAGTTGTCACGTTACTTGCTTATTTGCGTATTCAAAATAATTTTAATATAATGTTTTTAACCCTCGCTCTCTCTCTCTCGATATATACATATATGAAATAAATATTACAGTAGAATTGCCATTGTCGGTCCAAGTTCTCAACTTGATATCTAAACGGATAATGCCTCTGGTAATAGCACCCAAAACCAAACGCTTAAAAGGTTGGGAATGTAAGAACTATTAAGGTAGGGTTTTTGATTCTCTTTAAGATCATTTAGTTCCGTTTATTACCTTTTTTTTGTAAGGGCGGAGTTTCACATAGTAGAAATTTTAAGGTAGTTTCATTTCTACTTTATGAGCTTCAAGAACTTTAAAGGCACCTGCCTTCCCACAATGTTGCAGACAGTGGAAGGGAGTAGGAGTTGAGACGTTGTGGGTATAAGTACTCAGTTCTGTACCCTTAATTGATTTTCCATAACAGCTGGCTTGTTTAACATCAGCGTTTGGATGTTGTCTGATAGATGGAATATTCCCAACGCTTTTGGGTGCTATTACCACAGACATTATCCGTTATGACACCAAGTTGGCAACTAGGACTGACAATGACAATTTAACTGTAATGTTTATTTCATATTAAGTTCATTATTGTTTTATGGTGCTGTTATAAATCGCTTATTAACAATTAATGTGACTAATAGTATTAGAGCTACATATATATTCATAACAAATTTGCTGATAATAAATATTTCATATATATATATATATATATTGTAAGGTTCGAGATCAAATATATATTTTCATCATTCGGGGAAACTTTTTAAATGCCAGTACCATATCGAAGTATAGTTTATAACCTTCCAAGATGTATTTTTAAAATTAGAAAAATACCAGATTTTATATCTTTATTTGAATATGATATCACAGTTATTTGTCTTAATACCACGAGCTTAGTTTCGCTGGTTGATTTGGAAAATTCAGCAGAAACATGTTTAAACAAACGACTGAAATCGCCCGTTTCTCTTGCATAATCATAATACAACAATTGGCATAGAGTAACCAGGAGGTGGAGTAGGATGATCAGTGAACATCAGGCGCTGTATTGGGTTGTTAAGTGTGACGTCATAGTCACCTATTTCTGGTTCCAAGCAAAAGCTGTTTGTTCACAGCTTTTCAGATGTAGACAAACATATTAGAACCACCTGGAAATGTTTTCATGACTTTGAACTGCCACAATAAACACACACTTTTAAAGATACAAATGAATAAGGTTGAAGTATATGCAGACCACATTTCATGATGTAATTTACACTGTGATTACTTTTTGTTTTACTACATTATTTTGACATGTGAATGACCATAAATGTGGATTCGCAGCAATACACATTTCTGGGAATAAATTTTAAAACACACACACACACACACACAACTCCTAGGTCTTTCGGAGTAAACACTTTGGAATAATTGATAACTGCCCACTATTCTGATATCAAATTAAAATTTAGTTTAAGGGTCCCCTAGAAATGCAGCCAGCCATTCAAGAAACTTATTAAACACTACTTTGAGAAAATCAAAGGATTCTATTGCCTTAACTGGTATTCAGTGGGAATCCAAACAGAAAACGTACAGATTACACTGTGTACATAATATGATATTTACAGTTATACTCATAGCTCAGTTCTGATTAGAGACTTATTGTATGAT